GGTTAAGTCCTGCAAGATACCCAGCAGCTGGAAGTGACTTTTCTAGGGAAGGACGCAGTCAGAGACCAAAGACGTATTTTGGGTGCTTGTCAACTTTCAGGTACTGTACTAGGCTGTTCTTTTTCACATTCTGAATTAGTGACAGGCAGCTTGCTTTTTCCATTACAAAACTTGTTGGTTTCCAGTTTAAACATTAGATAGGAATTTGCATTGAAAATACAAGGCATTGTAACAGTTCAGGCTGTTAGAACATATGCTGTATAACGAAGCTGCTTGTTACTTGTGCTCTATGCATGTTGGCTAGGATGTGCAAACAATCCTACATGATTTAAACAGTTCTCAGCAATCTTGAATACTTTCCAAATGTTTTAATCCCACAGAGATTGTTTTTGCCTGCTACTATATGAGACTAAGTCTATGTATTTATTGTAAAATATATTATGTTGTTTTGTACCTTGTGTTAGCTGATTCCACAGTACTTTTACCTCTCTTAGTTAGTTGAGGTTAAACACCTCTGACCTGTGATTTACCTCAACTAACTAGAGGGAGGTAACAATTACAGTCTGTAGTAGGAGCTTACATTACATTGTTCTGCAGCGAAGATGCAACCTATGAGATGTGTGTGCTGTTTTTTTGCACTTGAGTGAGCTTAGGAAAATTTTTGCCTGATTTTCCAATTCTCCCTCTTTTATTCCTGTGCAAAGAGCGTAAAATATGTTACCCTATCAGCATGAACCTGTCTCAAAGACCCTTTACACAGGCCATATTTTGAACCACACAAGGGGCAAAGCAGTGGGCAGTCAGGTTGTGAAAGGCGGGTGCTATTTGGTACTATTTGTTAAATCCTGTTAGTATTTGGGGTGGTGTAACGTCTATTTTCCCAAAGTGAGTATTTTGTAGATATTTTCCAACTGAATGGTTTTATATAACTGTCAGAACTTTACTGCTAAAATGCTTGCAACTCCATTTTAATAAGCAGCAGGCACTGAAAGTTACATTAATAAAGTTACTGCTAACCTCCAAGGAGATCTGGTGTGACTACAGCAGGGCTGGAAGCAAACCAATTACAACCTAGTTTTGACTTGAACTTTCCTTACAGCTTCATCTCTGTTTGGTTAAAAGCACCCCAAAACTGTGAGCAGTTAACAGTTTCCATGTGGTTTGAGAAAATATACTTTAAAATATTCTGGTGATTTTGCATGTTTTTCCACAGAGTTTAAAATGAGTTCTCCACATAATCCCAGCTCCAGTCCCCACTGAATTGCAGCTATTATGGTTTTGTTTATCTCAGAGCCAGGCTGTTACTGTGGGCGCATGCCTGTAGATGGTAAAGTGTTTCTTTTCAGGCTGTACTATTTACTTGGTAATGCTAAGTAACGTGTCCCAATTCAGATGTAACTCAGCAGCAATGATCTGTAAAGTGAAAATGAATCCAGCTAGGATTGCAAGAATGAACAGAGTAGCAATTCAAAGAAGGCTTTTCTGAGGCTGGCTTTTCGTTGGCTTGATGTCGTTGTTGTCTTCAATAGCTTACATTTTGTTCACTGTTTTCTATTTATTTGTATACTAATTATTGACTGAGTCCTCCAGCTAACACGGAGCAGACAAAATATGGCCTATGGCCTGGATCCAGATTTCCAAACAGCTGGATCCATTCCACGGATATAGCAGGAGCCTCAGTCAGACCCCTGCCTGCCCTGCCCTCACACGGTGCTCAGAGCAGCCAGCTTCAGTGGCCATGTGTGTCTCTGAAGGCTGTGAGCCTGGAAGAGTGGGGAAGAGGCACTGCCCTACTCCCATCACAATCACACAGCTCCCATTGGCTGGTTTCTAACCAATGGGAGCTGACTGTGTTTGCAGGACAAGCAGTATGCAAAGTACCCTTCCCCCACCCCCAGCACAATCTTGCATCTCCCATTGACCAGTTTCCAGCCAGGAAACCTACCTGCTGAGGAAACTGTTGGGTTGCTGGCTGGGAGCTGACCAGGTAAGGACCTTCTGGCCAAAGCCTGCCTCTAGTACCCCAGACCCTCCCTCCTACTTCATTCCTGCCCCACATAACCCAAACCTTTTGCACACTTGCTCCCGGATCTTTCACCTCAATTATCTATCCCCAGTGACAATCCAAATCCCTGCATCCCTCCTTCCCCTTGTCACAGCCCCCTACCAGACCCTGCACTCCCTCCTTCATGCCTCCTCCAGGTCAGAATCCTCTCCTGCGGCCATATCCTGCACCCGAATCCCCTGTCCCACGTCACAACCCAAACCCCTGCACTCTCTCCTGTACCCCTGCCTGAGGTCACAACCCCCTTTCAGATTCTGATCCCCCTTCTACATCCTCCCTGCAGATCAGAATCCTCTCCTACACTCAAACCCCCTCCTGGTCACTGCACCTACTCTGACACCCCGGTCACTTCCTGCAAGTCAAAATCCCCTCCAACATCCAAATCCTGTACCACAAGGTCCCTTCCTCACCCAACCTCCATCCCAGACCCTGCACCTTCCTCCATAATATCATGGAAGAATGGGTATCCTTTGTCGTACCTCGCTGTTTTCGTACCTGGGTACCTTCGGTGGTCTGGACTGTCAGTGTCTGCGTCATCTGGTCAGGGTTGTCCTGGCGTGCTCCTGACAGGACCTCTACTCCGTCAGTGATGATAAACTTTTGGCTGCATGCGTAACAATCGGTACTCCCTTTATCTACAGTGTTAGACCCCGTGCACTTAGGTCAACACAGGAGATCCCTGAGATGCCCCGGAAACAACAGATGCAGGCAAGGTTTGAAATCAATCGAGCAGGTGTACTGTCAAATGCGAAGCTCTACCAGTTGGTAACAGAGATCGGTACAATGTTACACCATTGGGCACTATGGCCCGCGTTGACAAGGTACCAACACAGGGCAGGCCTATTGCCATATATCAGATATTACCAGCAGTTAGTCAAAGTTAAGCTACTGTGCATTCTGTAAGTTTAGGCAATGACACCTGCCGTTCAGGCGCCTAGTGCACCCCCCCCCAGGTCGGCCGGCCGGAGAGCACCCTCTGCGGTGTCCTTTTATAGCCAGGTACAAACAACTTACATCATTGCTTTACGTACCAGGTTACCACCCTCTGTTGCCTAGTTACCACTCCTCACCTTATGGAAGGGGGGCTTACTTACTATTCTTCATGCTGTCAATCTCGACCCGGTCCTGAACCTAGGTCGGTATGTGCATTAGTTTTTAGGGAGTTTTTGTACCAAGACGTTTCTTATTAAGATGTTACATTACTCCCCTTTGGCTTACAGTCTGTACCCAGTGCCTCCCTGAGTCCTTCCATGCTCGACCTAACTTACACAATCACACAGTTATCAATAGGGTTCTTTCTTGGCTCCTGTGTTACTGAACCAAAGTCTTGCTCACTAGATTGCAGGCCTGCTGCTATTTCCATGTTGCAGGCCTTAGGCCTACTGACTCCATGTTACTGACCCTCAGCTTACTACACCCCTCACCACTTACCAAATTCAACTATCCAGATATATGTTGGGAAAATAACACAGCGGGGCACAGACTATCCAATAAGTTCTTGGACTGCATTGTTCTTGGAGACAACTTTTTATTTCAGAAGGTTGAAAAAGCTACCGGGGGAAGCTGTTCTAGATTTGATCCTAACAAATAGGGAGGAACTGGTTGAGAATTTGAAAGTGGAAGGCAGCTTGGGTGAAAGTGATAATGAAATCACAGAGTTCACAATTCTAACGAAGGGTAGAAGGGAGAACAGCAAAATAGAGACAATGGATTTCGGAAATACGGATTTTGGTAAGATCAGAGAGCTAATAGGTAAGGTCCCATGGGAATCAAGACTGAGGGGAAAAACAACTGAGAAGAGTTGGCATTTTTTCAAAGGGACATTGTTAAGGGCCCAAAAGCAAGCTGTTCCGCTACGTCGGAAAGATAGAAAATATGGCAAAAGACCGCCTTGGCTTAACCACGAGATCTTGCATGATCTAAAAATAAAAAAGGAGTCATATAAAAAATGGAAAGTAGGACAAATTACAAAGGATGAATATAGGTAAACAACATGGAAATGCAGGGGAAAGATTAGAAAGGCAAAGGCATAAAATGAGCTCAAACTAGCTTTGGGAATAAAGGGAAACAAGAAGACTTTTTAAAAGCAAGAGGAAGATGAAGGGAGGAGTTGTGACTGCTCTGGAGGATAGGATCATAATTCAAAATTATCTGGACAAATTGGAGAAATGGTCTGAGGTAAGCAGGATGAAGTTTAATAAAGACAAATGTAAAGTGCTCTACTTAGGAAGGAACAATCAGTTTCACACGTACAGAATGGGAAGCGACTATCTAGGAAGGAGTACGGAAGAAAGAGATCTAGGGATTATAGTGGACCACAAGTTGAATATGAGTCAGCAGTGTGATGCTGTTGCAAAAAAAGCAAACAAGATTCTGGGATGCATTAACAGGTGTGTTGTGAGCAAGACACGAGAAGTCATTCTTCCTCTCTACTTTGCGCTGGTTAGGCCTCAGTTGGAGTATTGTATCTTGAAATTTCTTGCATTTCAAGAAAGATGTGGAGAAATTGGAGAGGGTCCAGAGAAGAGTAACAAGAATGATTAAAGGTCTAGAGAACATGACCTATGAAGGAAGGCTGAAAGAATTGGGTTTGTTTAGTTTAGAAAAGAGAAGACTGAGGGGGGACATGATAGCCATTTTCAGGTATCTAAAAGGGTGTCATGAGGAGGAGGGAGAAAACTTGTTCATCTTGGCCTCTGAGGATAGAACAAGAAGCAATGGGCTTAAACCGCAGCAAGGGAGGTTTAGGTTGGACATTAGGAAAAAGTTCCTAACTGTCAGGGTAGTCAAACACTGGAATAAATTGCCGAGGGAGGTTGTGGAATCTCCATCTCTGGAGATATTTAAGAGTAGGTTAGATAAATGTCTATCAGGGATGGTCTAAACAGTATTTGGCCCTGCCAAGAGGGTAGGGGACTGGATTTGATGACCTTTCGAGGTACCTTCCAGTCCTAGTATTCTGTGATTCTCTGATTCTATGAAATTCTTGTAGTGGACCCCATCAGAAATTGTTGCCCATCCCTGGGCTAGTAGGT